TGGTGGATGTGAAATTGGTTGGATGATCGCATCCAGAGGGTAGTGATCAATTTCATGATGTTCATTCAGATGGAGACAGGTGACAAGGGATGTCCCTCAGGCGTCCATGCTGGGAAGAGTGTTATTTAATATCTTCATCAATGATATAGACAGTGGGATCAAGAGTACCCTCATCAAGTTGGTAGATGACACCAAGCTGAGTGGTGCAGTCGATATGCTAGAGGGATGGGATGTCATCCGGAAAGACCTAGACAAGCTGGAGAAGTGGGCTTACATGAACTTCATGAAGTCTAATAAGGCCAAGTGCAAGGTCCTGCACCTGGATTGGGGTGATCTGCATTATCAATGGAGGCTGGTGGATGATGTGCTAGAGATCAGCCCTGAAGAAAAGTACTTGGGGGTACTGGTGGACAAAAAGCTGGACATGAGCCAACAATGAACACTCGCAGCCCAGAAGGCCTGGGCTGCATCCAAAGAAACATGGCCAGCAGATCAAGAGGTGATTCTGCCCCTCTGCTCTGGTGAGACCTCACCTGGAGTACTGTGTCCAGCTTTGGAGCCCTCAACACAAGAAGAAAATGGACCTATTAGAGTGAGTCCAGAGAAGGACCATGAAAATGATCAGGGAGCTGGAGCACCTCTCCTGTGAGGATCTGGAGAAGAGAAGGCTCTGGGGAGACCTTAGAGCAGCCTTCCAGTACCCAAAGGGGGCCTACAAGAAAGCTGGGGAGGGACTTTTTACAAGGGCGTGTAGCAATAGGACAAGGGGTTTTAAATTAGAGCAAGGTAGATTTAGATTTAATGTTAAGAAGTTCTTAACTATGAGGATGGTGAAACACTGGCACAGGTTGCCCAGAGAGGTGGTGGAAGGTCCGTCACTGGAGATATTCAAGGTCAGTCTTGATGGGGCTCTGAGCAATCTGATCTAGTTCAAGATGTCCCTGCTCGCTGCAGGGAGGTTGAACTAGATGGCCTTTAAAGAACCCTTCCAAACCAATGCAATCTATGATTCAGTCATTCTGACTGGTGCTTTAGTCGCTCAGTAGTGCTTACCCAAGCCAAGGACTTTTCAGTTTCCCATGTCCTGCCAGCAAGCAGGTGCTCAAGAAGCTGGCAGAGAGTATGGCCAGGAAATCTGATCTCAACTAGCTAAAGGGATGCTCTGTACCACACGACGTCATACTCAGTACATAAACTGGGGTGAGATGGCCGAGTGGGTGCCCCTTAGCTGCTTGGGGACTGGCTGAGCATTGGTCAGTGGGTGATGAGCAATTGTACTGCGCATCACTTGTCTTTCTTGGGTATTATTTCTCTCTTTTCATTATATTTAGTAGTAGTAGTAGTATTTTTCAAATATTAAACTATTTTTGTCTCAACTCATAAATTTTAATTATTTTTATTTTATTTCAATTCTTCTCCTCATCCCCCCTTGGGGGACAGGAGTGAGAGAGCAGCTGCCTGGTGTTTAGTTGCCCACTGGGGTTAAACCATGACAACCCAGAAATGCTTAAACAAATATGTGTTTTAATTTTAGTGCACACAATAATCTTTTAACCTTCATCCAACACTGGATAAAAATATCAGTTACGGAAATAGTCTTGTCTCCTTCTGTGACTTTTACACTATAGGGTTGATGTAAAGAAGCCATAGCATGAACAGGAACTTGGCCCAAGACGTTTTTTACCCCCACGGAAAAATCAATAGGCAAGATTCCATCTTGGTTACAACAATGTCAGGCTGGAGACACCTCAGTAGCCAGCTGACTTTATTTGCATTGCTGGAGATTAAGATCATGTCTTACTACAAATGAATGCGTCAATCATTAGCAGAGAGCATTTGTACTTGGCATTCACACTGACTGCAAATTTCACATATGAGGAGCAATACACACAAAAATCATTTCAGAGTATTTATCTCTTTCAATACAAGAAATAAGATGAGATAAAAATGGAATACAAGCAAACAATTCCTTGGAAGAACATGATCTTTATAGATGTGCTGTTCCACCTGGTCGCTATTTGAATTTTATAATTCCTGTGAAGCTGAGTCACCTTGTCCTATCAGGAAGCAGAAGACTTATAAATCACCCTGTGATGAAGAACTCCAGTCACTTCCACAGTCACCTGAAGAAGGACAGAGGAAACATCAGATCTTCCTGGAAACAGAAGGTAGGATTTAGCTTGATTGGTTTGCCTAAAGTATTTCAAATTTTTACCATGTATTAAAATGGAACCTAGTGTCAGAAGACTGCCTGAACAATTCAGGACAGTAACAGAAAGAGGATTTTATTTAGCAAAAAGTAAGAATTAGATTTCAGTATATTCTATTACTATACGTAACTATCACCACTTACTTTCAGAGTGGGAATTACCACCTTGTGCAACTTACCACTCTTGTGCAAGGTATCTGCTAAGTAGGACTCCGTGCATCAATGCTGTACAAGTGAAATGCAGCTTGTATTATTCCATTTCAGGTCTTTTTCAAGGATAATAAAAAAAATAATGATGATTATATTTTGGTAATATTTAATTGTGTTAATAATTTAGGGTACACAATTTTAAAATTTTTTAGGAGGAGGGATTGGAAAAACATATTGACACAAGTTTGCTAAACTCATACAAACTAGGGATGCTAAAGCACCATCTTTCAGTGGCAGATCCCTGTACACAGATGGAGCCGCAAGAAAGTCAGTAGAACTTGGCACATGTCCTGATTTATGTTTGATTGAGGGGGAACAGGGGAGGGGGGGGCAGAGAGACTGATTTTAGGACCAGTGCCTAGAAATTAATGCAGAGCAATTAAATTTACATCTCATAAACTCTAAGCATTTGGCTGAAATCAGTGGGATTGCCAAAAGTATGTTAATATCTTGGAGCAGGAAACCCAGTGGGTCTTAAAAAGTGTTCCAATGGCATTTTGAAACTTGTATCATGTATTAAATTACCAATTATATTTAATTCTAAGTTAATTCATAGAAAATACTACAGTGAATGAGCACTTTGCCCATGTCCTTAAGTTAGCTTCCTCAGTTTAGTTTGCAAAAAAGAAAGCTTTACAATTTCAATGAAGAGTTATTTTTCCTTTGAAAGAGTGAATTTGTTTTTACACATGGTAGATGCAAAAAGGATTGTTTTCTATTTGCATATCATCATATTTTGCACTCAGAAGACATATTTTTGTTTGTAACTTGAGTACAGCTAAAAATAACCCCCACCTCTATCTGCTTTTTAATTAGAAATTAAGTGGAAAGAATAATTTTTCATGTTATTGAGAGTGTAATTATTTATTGCTAAACACCTAGGTCATATACCCTGCAAAGTTTTGCAACAGCTCAGAAATAAATGGTATAAAACTTAGCAAGAAAGAACTTCTGTGATTGTAAAGCACTTCAAGAAAGCGTAAGTGTTGTCAAAATAAAACATAAGTGACATAAGACAATACCAAGAATGGGAAAACAATGGCTTATACTGTTAAGCACCAGTATAGTTTTCCCCCAGGTCAACTAGAATTTTTCTCAACTACAAATACTTGGAATATTCCATTCTCTTTTGAAGGCTGTGAGAGTTTAACTGTACAGATGTGGCCAATGTCTCCTTTTGTTTGAGCTACAGCTGCCCATAGTCACCGTCCACTTGAACAGTCTTTGCTCTTTAGCAGAGCTGAATTAGCATCCCTGCCCACAGGCTGGGGACTATGGGTCATCTCCAGTACAATGTAAGCAAGCTGGTGAGGAAAATGGGCCTTGATGTACCATTTGGAAAAACGTAATTTTTCTTACTCACATATTCTCCATGAGCCAGAGTGCCTTGTGTTTTATATAAACTGGTTGCCTCGAGGTAAAGGGGCTTTGCTGTATATGAAAAGATCGGCAGACCTTATTGGCCTTTCCCCAAGAGTAAATTGAAACTAAAACCTGCAGCTTCTCAGAAACAAATAAGAAGTTCAGCTAATAATATAACATGCACATAAATTCCCTTGGAGTGGGAGGCTGGGAAAAATACCAAAATAATAAAATTCCATCCTAGTCACCTGCTTGCCTGCCCAAGGTTCCTGAGCAAAAAAAAAAGCTGAACTTAACTCTTATGAGTGACTGCAATCAGACACCTGAACTTTTAAATGACCTACATTACCTCCTGGATTGCTGTAGAGGGATGATACAGCACTTTGAGCCTCCCAAGCAAGTAGAATCTTGGAGTCCACAGTCTGGTGGTTCTTCTTCAGATAGAATCATAGAAGGGTTTGGATGGGAAAGGACCTTTGAAGGTCATGTAGTCCAATTTCCCTGCAGTAAGAAGGGACATAAGCTAGACCAGGTTGCTCAGAGCTCCAACCAATTTGCCATTCAATGTTTCCGGGGATGGCTTCTACAGCCTCTCTGGGCAACATTTTCCAGTGTCTCACCACCTTCACCATAAAAAAATTCTTCCTAAGATATAGTGTAAATATACTCCCTACCTTAGAGAAGCCTCTCATTTCTGTTCTCATTCCACAACATCTGCAATATAATCAAAAGCTGTCTTCAAATACAAAATCAAAAAATCTTTCTGAAACAAGGCTTTCCCAGGCAGCCAGTTGTCCCCCTTTCGCATGAAAGGTTTCACAGTGCTGGTCATTATAAAAGAGTATTGAATCCCGACTTGGGCTGCACATGAGCTGAAGGCATAATTCCATTTTCAGCCAATGCATGGAGAATAAGAGAAGCTTCAGATTCACAGTCCTCCTGTACTGTGAATTCAGGTGAAGGTATTTGGCCAGGATTACAAAAGGAAGTATGAGATGTGCAAAGCAGTTGATTTCAAGAAAGTTGGAAATGCAGAGGGGAAATGGATTATATTTTTTTACTTCTAAAAACAGGAGGAGAGAAGGAGGAAAGAAAGAAAACATTGCCTTGCTACTTGAGAAAAAGCCAGGAAACATACAGGAGAAAGATGCATCATGTGTTCTGAGAAACAAAAGCTCCATATAAAATAAATTAAATCCCCATTCTCCCCTTTTCAGAGATGATTCTGCTACTGGTGCTCCTGTGTCTCATGGCTATGCCGCCTCTGTCCACTGGAAAGGTAGGATCCACACCTTGTACTCAGAAAATCTGGATGGGACCGGATGTACTGATGTACTGATGAAGTACCACAACCCCGTGATTAAACAACAGGATCTTTCAATCAAAAAACTTTGACAGGCATATTGAAAATACTGAAAAAGGGGAGCATATCATAAGCACATTCATGACAGCCGATTTTTAGATCCTTAAAAGCTCATAAAGAAAATCATAGTAAAATAAGTCTGATAGAGTTGCCTAAATTTAAGAGTCTACAGACACATAGGATGTCCCAGAATGTCTCAACCATTCACAGAGGGTTGGCAGATATGATGCAGGAACTGGTGTTAGCTAAGCTTTATGCTATGGGACCACCGGAAGTGCTACTCCATATGGAAACACCCCTAGAGGTACTCAGGGGACAAAGTGTGTCACAGTACCTCCTCCATCACAAGATCCATCACCTTCATTGATATTTGGCACTTTAATACTTCCAAGACAAGATATAAGACTTAGCTGTGATCAAATTAAAAAAAAAACAGTAATATTATATGTTTTTTAATTTAGGAATCCAAGGGTTTTGCTGCTGTGTCAGCTAGCAGAGCAGATCAGCAAAAGTTGATTGTTGACAGACATAACGCCCTCAGGAGAGGAGTAAAACCAACTGCCAGCAACATGATGAAGATGGTAAGTTGTGTGCCATTTTTAATGAGTAATGGACTCTACGAGAGATCCAGGACTGTATGCAAGGTCACATTATGTTATTTATCCACAAATTCACCCTCTAGTCCTTTTCCAAGGGAGGACCACAGCCAGCACCAAGAGAAAAATAAAGCTAGGCAGGTGGAAAAATAAGTCTGGAAATTTCTGTGGTATATGAACAATAATGGCTCTTTCTTTTGAAGGAAGAAAAGGGGAGCCATGTCACTGTTAATTTCCTTCTGATTAATTCTTTATCATTCTTCACAGTTTCTGTTCTCCTTGGTGCATAGTAAATTTGTGCCTACCCACTTTTCTCCCAGAAAAATGGAAGAAAAAGATTTTGTATATTATTTTTTCTGATTTGAAGTGAAATTTCTAAATGTTGTTCCTTCGTGAGGATTTATTAATTGCTACATGTCTGTCTGACTAGTATTTTTCTATTTCATTAAGGAATGGGATCCTCTAGCTTCACGGAATGCTCAAGATTGGGCCAATCAATGTACTTTAAACCACAGTCCTGCTAACGTGAGGAAAACCAGTAAGTGAAGCATGAGTGCTGACTGAATAATATTGATGCTATAGTTTGGAGGTTTTGTTTGGGTTTTTGTTATATATTCAATGTGCATGGGACAAAGACAAAATTCTAGCTATAAATCTGTTCAGTAAGTGAAAAAAGTTTGGTCCAATTCTCACCCCAGTCGCATCAGTTTTACGTGAATATATCCCATTTTCTTCAGTAGGTGAAAATAATCATAGGGAGAAAGCATATTCTCTCAAAATATCCATCAGAAAGAAGAACATATAAACCCAGTTTACTGCAGAATCCAGCCTGCGTATCCTGGATGAAACTATCTGGGATGGAAGGGGCAAAGGGTGAAGTACAAAAACTGGATGGTGGTGCTAAGTATAAGTTCTAAGACAACACACAGCTTTTAAATTCCCTGGCAACTTGCAACCTAAAACTATATTGGAGGTTTCTGGTTCTTCCTAAGGTGAATCCCAGATGAAAATTAGTATGTACACAGTAGGGTTGGACCTGAGGAAAAACAGTAGGTGAAGAGAGTGTAGACACCTTGTTGTGTACCAGAAGTAACTTTGAATTATTGGGATTTTCCCAAGGTTACTGAGCTGTGTGTGACCTGGATGATGACTATACTTCTAACTTTCAAACTGAAAAATGAGTCATGAATCTGTGGTGCAGGAGTACCCAAAGACATGTAGAAGGTCTGTCAGCAACCAAACTACCAGTCAAACAGGTTGACCAAAGCGGCAAACTGGTCAAGTGGCAACTTCAGTATTGGCAAAGGGTTACAGAACTGGAAAGAAAAATCCACCCTGCTGTTCCATCTGTGATGAGAACTTCCATGGAAATCCTACCAGCTTGTGCCATCTTTTTCTCACATGGGTATTTTCTGTGCATGTCTCAGTACCTCTCTCTTTCCAGCTGTACATTGTGGTGAGAATCTGTTCATGTCATCCGCCCCTTTCTCGTGGACTGGTGTTATTCAGAGCTGGTATGATGAGGAGAAAGATTTTGAATATGGAATGGGGGCAAAAACAGAAGGTGCTGTGATTGGCCATTACACTCAGGTAGATGCAATTTTTTTATATTTCAAGCTGATTAAGTATAATGGAGAAATGAGAGTTACTCTGGCAAAACAAGATGAAAACTTCCATAGTAACAGAACTGAAATGAAAATAATAGGTCGTGTTTTTAGAGATTGAAGAGTAAAGACATTGATATTTCAAAACTTCAGGAAGAAGAAAAGTGATGTAACTTATTTGCTTGTTTAACATCTGAAAATTGCTCAGACACTGGAAGAATGGGGTTATTAAAGCATCAGGAACGAAAGGCAGATAAGTTTGTTACAGAGTTCCACTGACTCAGAGAGTTTCCAATTGTATATATGGAACACAGAATACAAAATTTTCCATCTTAAATTTTACATCTTCTTCAACAATTTAAATTAAATGAAAATACATATAATTGAGACAGCTTAACTCAAGCTTTATATATGTATGTGTGTGATAAGTTACTACCATTATAACTTAAATGTTCTTTTGTTCAGTGATGAAAGAGGGAAAAAATGTTTTTCCATCAAGGTAGGATTTATATTTTACTATAAAGTGTAACTAAAGCAACATAATTTGGTTGCAAATGTTTCCATAATGCATATTGTAGGTAAATGATTTTCAAATGTATATTCTTCATTCTTTCATTATTCTTTATTCTTATACTTACAGGTAGTTTGGTACAACACTTACAAAATAGGATGCGGTGTCGCTTTTTGTCCCAACAAAGAATATAAATACTTTTATGTCTGCCATTACTGCCCCAGGTACGTATTGATTCTGATTCTAGAATTTCTTATTGCATTATCAGAATTAGTTGGGAGATGGTGAAAAGTGTAATAGGGCTGAGGAAGAGGTCTGAAGAGTGTATTAGGAATATAAAAAGACAGAGACGTACTCATCAAAAGAATTGTCAAACAAGAAAAAACATAAAACGCGTAGAAGCGTCACTGATTTTCAGATTAAATTTCATTTGTCTAAAAATCCTAATTTTCATAAGAATAAATCACATTAAATATTTTCCGCATTCTTCTTGAAATCTTAGTTCAGAAGGTGGTATCGATACGTATAGTACAGAGAACACTATAACTAATACCAAAAACTTTAGTGTGAATTTTAAGGTAGAGTGATAAGTTCACAAATCACCTAAAATTAAATTTCACATTGTAATATACTGTGGTGAGCTGACCCTGGTTGACTCTTAGTAGCCCATCCAGATGCTTTGTCCCTTCCCCTCCTCAGCAGTACAGAGGGGAGAAAAAATACCACAAAGAGATTCTGGGTCATGATAAGGACATGGAGATGAAGTTGGGGAAATTAATTTATTGCCAATCAATCAGAATAAGATAATGAAAAATAAAACAAGTTCAAAAGCACCTTTTCCCGACAAGTCCCTTCTTCCTAAGTTCAAGTTCTCTTCTAATTTCTCCACCTCCTCCCCTCCAGCAGCACAGGGAGAGGGAGAATCTTCCTCCTTAGGGGAAGGACTCCTCGTACTCTTCCCCCACTCCAGCATGGTGTCTCTTCCCATGAGAGACAGTTCTTCATGAACTTCAACGTGGTTGTTCCCACAAGCTGCAATTCTCCACGAATTCTTCATGGCATCCTGGGGTGTATTAGAAGGGGAGTAGTTAGAAGGTTGAGAGAGGTTCTCCTCCCCCTCTGCTCTGCCCTGGTGAGGCCACATCTGGAATATTGTGTCCAGTTCTGGGTCCCATGTTTACAAATATGTCAAGGGTGGGTGTCAGGAGGACGGAGCCAGGCTCTTTTCAGCGACATCCAATGACAGGACAAGGGGAAATGGGTACAAGCGGGAACATAGGAGGTTCCACAAAAATATTAGAAAAAACTTTTTCACTGTGAGGGTGCCAGAGCCCTGGCACAAGCTGTCCAGGGAGGTTGTGGAGTCTTCTTCTCTGGAGACATTCAAAACCCGCCTGGACGTGTTCCTGTGTGACCTACTCAAAGTCACCCTGCTCTGGCAGGGTGGTTGGACTAGATGATCTTTCAAGGTCCCTTCCAATCCCTGACATTCTGTGATTCTGTGATTCTGTGATCCCTTCCATGGGTTTCAGTCTTTCAGGAACAGGCTTCTCTAGAGTGGGTGCCCCACGGGGTCTCAAGTCGTGCCAGGAAACCTGCTCTGGTATGCCCTGCTCTCTCCATGGGGCCACAAGTCGTGCCAAGAGCCTCTTCCAATCCAGTCACAGCCACCTTCAGGCAAATCCACCTGCTCTGGCATGGGGTACTTCATGGTCTATGGGTGGACATCTGCTCCACTGCGGACCTTAATGGGCTGCAGGGGGACAGCCTGCCTCACCATCATCTTCACCAGAGGCTGCAAGAGCATCTCTGCCCCAGCACCTGGAGCACATCCTCCTCCTTTTACACTGCTCCTTGTGTCTGCAGAGTTGTTTATCTCATGTATTCTCATTCTTCACTTCCAGTTGCTGTTAGACAGTAGTTTTTACCTGGTTTTAGATATGTTATCACAGAGACACTATCACTGCTGTTCATGGTGAGAGAAATAGGTCAAACCTGGAGATGGCTGGCACTCGCTTTGTCTGAAATAAGGGCAGCTTCTGAGTCTTCTAACAGAAGCCATCCCTGAAAATTTCCCCCCTGGCCCCACTACCATAACCTTTCCAGATAAGCCCAACACATATACAAAAATTGTTTGACATATAACCAAAGATTGAGTGTAAATTAGTATATGTATGCATCTTTATAACTTATGTTGTTAATGTTTCAGTGGGAATTGGATAAGTTTAATGAAGACACCCTACAAAGCAGGAGAACCCTGTGGTGATTGCCCCAATGCTTGCGAGAACGGGTTATGCAGTAAGTTTTAGGCATTTTATTTCTCACTTAGGTAAAGTTGATGTTTTAAAAACAACACCAGTTAATTGATGCAAATGGAAAGTTTTTGAAATTATTTGTTCAAATACAGAGCCAGAAGCATTATTACAGATCCACACTTCACTATGCTAGGTGGCTTATCTAGGTGGAGTGACTTGTGGAGCGAAATCAAAGAAGAAGATGTCTATGCCAAGGGTGGACAAATGTTAGACAGCTTGTGTACACTGGAATGCAGATACACTCTGATTCATAGATCAAGATATTCATATGGCTTAGACATCTTCACTAAGGATGACAATGTCTGAGTCTCCACACGGAAACTCTCAAGACACTGTCTAGCATAGGAAGATGCACTGTCTGCAAGTGAGGTCAAAGATTAGTTTATATCAATGGTAGCACAGAAATTCGAGCTCCAGGCCTCCAGCAGCACTTTATAGGTTTTCCACACCCAGGAAATTAATCCTTGAATCTGGAAAATGCCAGGGAAAAAGGAGACTCCTTTAACTTTGAACAATGGTGGCTGATCAAGTAGCAGTAACAACACAGTTCAGAAGAGCAAGTAACAACTCTGAGTGTTAATAATCCTAATAGAACAGAAAAACATACAGTCTGAGTCTCATAAGCAAGTTTTAATGCCAATCTTCTGTATGGTACAAAGCTATAGTACAAAGGAAGAAAGCTGCAAAACACTTTGCAAATTCAGTGAGAAATCTCCTTGAAAGAGCTAAGAATTTTCTGTGTGTGGTCAAAGATTTTGGATGCTGCCGTGGAGTAAATGGCAACAAAGACGAAAAAAATACAGGGGAAATAAACATTAATGAAAAGTTATTCTGAAAGAAAATACTGCATGTTTTCAGTTCTCATTTATGATTAATTTTGTGTTTCACTTCATTTTCAGCCAAGCTTTGAAAGTTTGCAGATGTTTATTCCAACTACCTCGGCAAAGACTCCTGCATGTACCCATAGCTTCATCAAGTTCACTGCCCTGCTTTCTGCCAATGCAAAACTCAAAGAAATTAACAGGCTCAACTTTTCCCTTCTTGGACATCCATCTCCTTAGTGACTTCTTCGACAAAAACAAATTCCATTCTTCCTCTCCCACGTAGGCAGAAAGAGTGACTTCAGTAGGAGAATGTATATATCTTATTTGTGTAATGGTCTAGAACATAGTGGAGATCTTAATTGAACTTTGTCATTTGGGTGCTAGATTTGTAGAATCATAGGCTGGTTAAGGTTGGAAGGGACTGATTTATTTAATTATTAGCTTCCTGCATCTTTCTTTTCCTAAAATGCTATCTAAGGATCTTTGTTTAAAGTTCTATGGCTCTGTACATTTCATATGTTCTCTGCAGAGATAGTCCTTGGTAACACAATTAGTTTTTAACTTGATCAACATTTTAAACTATTATACTCTATACAGGACCAGAGGATAAACAGGATTGCTTGAAATATGTACTTCTCAAAAAGAATTAGGAGAGCAGAGCCATTTCCATTAGAACTATTCTGGTTTAGAATTTGTGTCTTTTGCTACATTCTACTGTAAAATGCTCAGTCATTAAACAAAAACAAGGAAACCATAATTCATTTAAATTAATGATCCTGCTTACAGTGTAAGATTGTATTTTGCATAAATACAGGTAACAAAACCTTCCTTTTAATGAAAAAGAGATACCTTAGAAAAGTGTTTAATACAAAATAATGGGTAGCCAAGTTGGAATGTCCCTGAATTTTCAATAACAAGTATCTTCCAAAATTACTTTTTTAAAACCTGATTTACTGTATTAATCATTTAGTTACTCATTCTTCGCTGACTGGTTCATTGTAATTTTCATTCATTCTTATTACCATGAAATAAAGTTCATTAAACTTTGTGATTTTGCTAGCATTATGTCTTGAAGGTAGGCTGATTCTTTAGTAGCATAAGCAGAAACAGCTCATATGAGAAGCTGAAGATTACCTAAGAGCGAAAACAGAACTCAAGCAAACAATCTTTCTTCAGACCCTCTTTCAGGGGGAAATTACCATTAGCATAAATAACATGCAATACCCACTTCTGTGACCTCAGGGAAGCAGGTGTTGGTTCGTGCAGTCAACAGTGGGACTAAATATTATTTTAGTCTCATTTTACAATGGTTACACCTTCCAGTCCTCTTTTATTAAAGAAGATGTGATCATATAATTCCAAGTCCAAGGCTCTTTGGCACAGAAAAATTTCAACACACACTTCTGAGTCATTCATTTTGGTGGCATTTCTTCTAGTGTGAAAGACGAACATTAATTTAAAAGCCTGGTTTCACAATTCAAAGTGCTTATTACTTGTGTTGGGTTTGTATTCGTTCATCTCCGCCTTTTTCCTTTTGTGGTATACTGCCCCCTCATCTGGGTACATCTCTACCTAGTAAGTCAAGCAATGCCAGGACATGGGTATGAGTGCCAGAACATGTCTTATTGCACTGTTAAATAAATTAGCGCAGGTCCAAGTATGGTGATAATGCAATAGCTAATCCACTGTTCTTATCATTAAGGAACTAGGTAGACCCACTACACCTACTGCTAAAAATGCCTTTCTACTATGAATAATGAATCTAGAAATCTATTCCCTTTGGTCATAACCCATGATAATGACATCTCAGCCACCCACAAGACAAGTACTGTATCGAGGCGAAAGTCAGCTCTGCTACATCTCACCCATGAGAACCCAGGGAACTAAAGGTCAATAAGCCTAATTTAGATATCCAGGAAGATAAGGGAGCAAATTGTTTACCTGACATTTTGTAACCACTAGAGTACAAAACATCAGCATGAATTGGTCATGAGCTGATCTTGGCAAACAAAACTTTCTTCATTGAGTACTTTGGACAAGCAGATGTTGCTTTGGCTTTAGTAACTTGTTTGGGAAAGCCACAAAGGACATTTGCAAACTAGGGAGATATGGTTCAGATGCAAGTGATAAGACATGGCACATACTTGTTGTTGAACACACATGTAAGTGATGCTCCCGTGATGGGGGCAGAGACTGAGGCTTCTGGTGACGTGGTTAGGTGTCTGCACAGATGGACATTACCCATGTTCAGAGGCAACTGCACCATTCTCATGTGTGATGTTCATGACCTTCCTCAGCCACACTGCTCTAGGACAGTGACTGAATTATGTCCTATATAGAATCATAGAATCACAGAATCATAGAATCATAGAATCATAGAACAGTTTAGGTTGGAAAAGACCTTCAAGATCATCAAGTCCAACCTTTGTCCTAGCCCTATCAATACCACTAAATCATGTCCCTCAGCACAAAACTGGCCCCTGGTTCACTGTGGAAAAGTATGGCATGGCATGGCATGGCATAGAATAGAGTAGAGTAGAATAGAATAGAATAGAATAGAGTAGAGTAGAGTAGAGTAGAGTAGAATAGAATAGAATAGAATAGAATAGAATAGAATAGAATAGAATAGAATAGAATAGAATAGAATCAATTGGAAGGAACCTACTTAGTCCAACTCTGTCACAGGTTAGGGCTGGGCCAGCCACTAACGCGAACAGACTCTCTCCAATCTCCTCTTTCTCCCCGAAAAAGGGAAGGAAAAGGGAATGAGGCAGAGAGACTTACAGGTTAGGAAAGAAAAACTAGAACAGCGTTAATGAAACAATAATGGAAATAATAGTGAAATGATAAAAATAAAGCAGAATATACAACTATGAACCCTCTTACTACCTGGCACCCCCAGCGTGGCACACAAGAGCCAGCAGTGGCCTTGGTCACTATAGGAATATGTATAAGCAAGAGCCTTTCTGCATCCCAGTCCCAGGCAGTAATTGCAAACATCAGGTGTTATCACTTCTAGTAGCAGACACTGTCTGCTCAAATGTGGTACTAACTAAGTGCAGCCTTTTAGAAGAGACTGAACTGGAAAGTAAAATTCACTAAATAGAATTGGGGGTTTTTTTGGCTAAAACCAGGACAAATTGCCTGACCACAAGTTAGTTCAGAACTAGCTCCTCTCTAAACTGCCAGAATACTCTCGCTTGTGGAATGGTATAACAGGAACAGCGAAACTTGCTGATAAGAACAGTTAAGTTCAGGCACTATTCTGTCTCTCGTCATTATAATGTCCTTAAACATCAGGTAGAAAAATTCTGTGGCAGGCAGAACTGAGTTTACTCTTTCCTCAGATTTGATATCCAACAGTCATGACATCCTTTTAGCATGGAAACAGCAATCTGAATGTCATTTTGAAAGCATATCATCATTAGTTATGAAGTTTCTGGATATTCCTAGAACGTATGCAGCCTTCTGAAAGCTGTAAGATGGATGTATTTTACACTTCTTTCATGCCGTAAGCCTTGATTCATTTCTTTTTCAGAATCTGAGGAAAGGTTCTCGAAACCTGCAAAGCAAAAAACCTTGCACTACACTTTTAAATGTGTGCCTAGAGCCTTGACTGAGTTGACACCCTAAAGCGTTACAACAATGTTTCAATGGTGAGGAGGTGAAAAACAGTGAAATCTTGCTATGTGGTGGGTTAGAAAAATACCTCCTGAAACTGTGGATTGCCTCTCACTTGGACTCTCTCCTGGCTGTAACAGTTCTTTCCCAAAATTCAAGGAAAAGCTATTGCATGCACTTTAAAGTACCGATTGTTCTCTATGAAAGGGAGTTGAAAGAAGCAAAGTGTGCGTCCATCTGAGCAAAAGAACTGCAAGAAGGTTCACTAATTTCATATAACATCCTTATCAAAGAGCTAACTCCTTAAACCAACGAATGTTTTGCCTTTTTTTCCTTTCTGGCATGTGGCAGGACAATATTGTTTAACAATGCATCTGTACATCCAACAGGCTTTTCCAAGAGAGGTAAATTTTAAGTAAATGGCAATGCATTCCAAAGATTGACAAGACCTCTTCTAACTTCCAAACTGCTTATGGTGTCATCAACAGCAGCGGGAAAATTACCCTGTGCTGTCCCTTTTCAAGACTATTTTCACATG